TATCAATAATAAATAAATTATTTTAAATAAAGGATTTGATGTACTTAATTAATGATAATGATGTATACTACTTGCTGGGCATATGAAGCTACCTAATTCCAGAGCTCTCCGCCACAAATCTCGAGGGCCATCTTCTTGCGGAAGTACTCCATGTGCTCCTGGGAGAACGTGAGCGACTTATTGCGTGTTATATACTCAGCGAACATACAGCTGAAGACACCGCAGTCACTGCCATTGGTCTGATGGGGCACATTTTGGACATTTTCGATAATAAAGTCGCTAGTATCGAATGGCTTCTTGCGCTTGTCCAGCGACTCCTCCAGCAAGTAGTTCTCCAGGGCGCTCAACACCTCCGAATTTGGTTTACCCATAGAATCATAATAGCGTATGGTCTTATTTTTCATGTGTATAATGGCCATGCACCAATGGACGTTGCTGACATGCACCGGCACCGGAATAATATCCTTGCTGAATATATCAACCTTGCGAGTCCAGCGCTTCACATTGCCGTAGCCGCCTTGCAATAGGCGTGGCACAAAGAACGTATTCATGGCATACACGCTGGGCAGCTTGCCCTCATTACGCTGGGAGCGATCAGTTAATAGATTCATATAGAAGTTGATAACTTCATCGTTCAGCCAGGAACTGCCAGACAGTGTGCGAATATCGTTGCGAGTAATGCTGAGGCTGAACTTCGAAATAAGTACCTAGTAATAGAAAGAGAAGGAAAGAGAGAGCGAGAGCGAGATAGAGATAGAATGTGACAGTTCATGTGAATAAATTTTCAATTTTCCTATCAAAATGAAATTTACCTGGTCGGGCTTGCCGAATATTAGCTCATTATAGCGCTGCTGATGGGCATCGGTCCATGGAATAAACTCCGGTTTGCTATCCTCCTCGACCGAATAATTTTCCAACACAAATAATGTGTGGCCGACAAAGCGTCGCTTGGCCAGGCTCTCACGCAGCCCTTGTTCAAATGCGCGACGTTCCTCAGTTCGCCTCTCAGCTCTGCGAACAATTTACATATACTTAGATAGTTGACAAACCTTTAATATTAATTGCAATTACGTACTCCTGAATCACCAGGTTCTTAGTGCGATTCACCTCCTCCTGTGTCTTGGTACACTTCTGGCTAAATACATTACCATAGTTGTCGTCGAAATAGATCGACTTGCTGATGCGAAACTGCAGTGCTTTAGTGCGTGGCATTGCTAACTCTTTAGACGATGACGGCTGCGGCTGCGAAATCTGTTTCGAACTAAATGAAACAATGAATTAATGTTCGACTTTGCCAAAAGATCGCACTGTCATGAATGTCACTCACTTTTCCGATAGTTGCCCGGGGACGTCATCTACGATACTCGGGATTGACGGCTTTTCGACATTTGTGCTGTTGTCAGTGTTGTCGCTCTTCAAGTAGCCCTGAATGGGAATTGCCGGCACTTTTGTGCTTAGTGGGTCGGCTGACTTAACTGCATCCGCTTTCGAATTGAAATTTAAGAGCTTAGCATATTCGGAGCGTCCAGCCACACCGTGCTCGGCCTTGTTCTTAATATAGGCGCGCATCCAGTCAGTGTTATTAAGGCTAATCGGACGCAACGGCGGCGGCGGCGGTGGCTTCTCCTTTTCGCGTGCAGCGGCGGCACGCCGTGCATATTCGCGATCATGAAGTGTTAAATTATTGATCAGATTGACATACTGATTGTGCTCATTGCGCTGTTCCTCTAGCGCCAATATGGAATCTTTTCCAGGACCTCCCGACTCAAACATATTGCTGCTGTGCCCATTTAGGCGCGCCTCGGACGACGCGAGGCTACTAGAGGGACGCTGGTAGTTGATGTTGGTCGAAAAACCGTTTGTGCCGAAACGCAAGGCGTCGGAGTAGAGCAAGTTGTTACGTCTAGCTGACGAGATGCGTCCAAACTCATTCTGACGCGCCGCCGGCTGACCACTTGTGCCCAGACGATCAGCGAACGTTTGATACAAGTTACTCTCATTATGCTGCTGATCGTCCGAGTCGGACAGATCTATCGGCGAAGTGGGCTGTGTGTTGCGGACATTCACTTGCCGTGTTGGCGGCGTGTTAAATATCGAGAGGCGCTTCGGCTGCGACTGGAAGGCATTGCGATTGCTGTTGTTGTTCTCTGGCTCCTTGCGCTGGGTTGGGTTTGCCATACGGCAAAAATTATCAACTGTGGAGAATACAAAACAATTTCAATACTAAATAGACTTTCATAGTCAATTTTCAGATGATTGATGACTGATGAATGAATGGAGGGCTTTTCGTACTTACAATTTAACTAAAATATAAATATACAAAATAAAAATAATTTTGTTTTTATTTTTATACAAAAACATACACATTGCTTTTGACAAATGTTTATATCATATATTGTAATACATATATGTATAAAATGAGATCATTATGAAGGGAGCTGATTTGATAGGGAAAATTCGAATTCAGTGATTTCAATGGAGTACACTTGGCCAGGACATTCTCATTTTGGGTTAATTTCTTGATTGGATTTCCTATTTCCATGCGAGTTTTCTTCATCTATCTGGTACTTACCGTCATTCGGCATATATTTAGGAAATGTGTTATCCACGCGGCGATATTTGATCAACTGTAGAGTTTCACCCTCGCCAGCCAAGCTTGGGTAACTGTAATACAATATATGAGAATTTAACTAATGTAAACAATTATATTGCATTGATGGGCTTACGATCGTTTGCGACTACGTTCGCTGTCTTCAGCTGGAGTATTGGGTGGCTCCTTGCTGTTCTTCGAATTGCGGCCGCCGCTTGGCAACCAGTGACGTATCCAGTTAATTATATCAAAGCCCATCGGATCGAGATGTGGATTGGGTCCGCCTCTGACTTTTTCGATTTTGGTCGATAGGGTTTTTATTTTCAAATCGATCTCATTCAGCAATACAGACGTTTCGTATGCAGTCGCTGGCTCAGTTCTAATGGAAGTCACCAGATAATCGCGTACATCGTTCAGTTTAGTCAGTAACAGCAGAACGGCCCAAAGACTGTTCAAATGTCGACCCCGGCAGGTCTCCACAATTATGTCAAGTGCACGCTGTATGACTGCCAAGCGCGGATCCGATTCCGGCTTCGTCTCCGTTACGTTGCTAGTTGATGCAAATGCCTCTTGTTCCAAGTCAGTTGCGTTTAATAGCTGTTCCTGTTGACTTCGCGATGTAGAATTGTAGATTGATGTAATTATGGTGTTGTTTGAAGGCGAAAATTCAGGGCCATTTGTCATCGATGCAGTATTCGAATAGATCGGGAGCCCAACACCGTTGAATGACAGCGCCAGCCCAGGATTACAGTTGGCTCCACTGGCCGCCACAATTACTTGACTAGGTAGTATATTGGTTGGTTGATTTGCGCACACCTACTAAAGTGTGCACAGCTATAGACTGAATGCTAACTGGGAGAAACAATGCAAACGTTAGTTCATCATGCACTCGAACATGGCCGCCATGCGACGTCGTTGCCAAAACCTTGCCAGGAGCCCATGTGCATCGGCGAATTTTGCGCGCCGCCCGGGCACAACAACAACGGCAACAAGAGAAATGAGTAAAAGAAAACGCAGATACCACAATATGTCTATGTACGAAACAAACAAAATGCTTGTGCCACAAACAAAACAACTTGTGCTATAGCTATTGCATTGCGAATTCAACACGCACTTCTAACGAAACTGCAGAATTTTACAAGTGAAGTTAATTTAATGCCGGTTGATGCTAATTCGACGCCGCTCTTGAAATTTGCAGTTGCGCTTTAAAACGTACGCGTCCACATATATACAAATGCACCATATATCGTATTGTTGCATGGACATGCACTTACCTCTTGTTTAGAGTTTATATACGAGAAATTTGAAAAGGCATATAAAGTTTACAGTTTTTCCAAAATTAAAAATCTAATCTCCTAAAACTAAGCGTGCTGACTGCCTCACATATCTATAAAGCAACCACATCAACACAATACAAGAATACCAAAAAATATACCAAACAAAAAATACCGAACAGAAATCAGTATTTACTTTTAAATGTCGTTTAGTGTTTAATTTTGAGGTTTTCATTGAATAGTTATTACTTTAAAAATTGTATGATATTTTTATTTTATTTTTTTTTGTTAGCTATATTCAATATTAATTAAAAAGTATATAATTTTTTGCAAATCTGCTCTGTGAAATGTATTTTGCAACACTAAGTGGCTGTGCGGAAACTTATCGAATATCGATAACTCAAATGTCTCCCGCTCAAAATTGAAAGCGTATGCGCCATATTGTTTTATTTATTTTTTTAAAATGAATTTATGCTACTACTTATATATTAACATTTATAGATATGTATATGTATATACGTTTTATTTGAAATCCCCAAACATCAAGGCCAGATACTATGCACAATAATGCATCTCACTGTTAATCCTTGCTTTGGCAACAAAAAAACAAAAAATTCCACAACAATGTTGTGGATCCATACAGGGCGCCCGCAAGCCCCACCGTTGCCTGGAACGTGTAGTGGACGACGACCCAATGGGCGAGAGCGCCCCAGATGAGTATCAGCAGACCGTTGGTGAAGTGCACCGGCCGGCGAATGGCCGTCCAATTGGCACGCGTCATGCCCAACTGGAAGACCATCTCCTGAAGAAATGCTGTGACCACCTGGCCGAAGCCCAACAGCACAGCCGAAACACTCAGCAGCAGCTTGGACGTGGAGAAGCTAATAACTGCAGAATTGTTAATAGTAAATGATAGTAAAAGGTGATGATGCCACAATCCAAATGCTTACAAATGAGCGCCAGACACTTGCAGATGCTGCCAAACGTGAACCACTGCAGCTTCCTTTTGAACAGGCTCGAGCCGAAGCGCGGCGTCATCAGCGAGAAGCACATCCAGGGAAAGGCCAGCAGCGAGAAGAGGAATGGTATTTCGGCGTTCTTCAGCGCGTGATGGCTAACAGCCAGGCCCGGCAGCACCGTCAGGCACATCACGTAGCTGAAGATGTCCGCCGAGATGAGCAGTGTGGTGGCATACAGCTGCGGCACCAGCAGCGCCTGCTGCAGCGGCATCACAATCTTATCCAACAGATTCCACCACAGGTGCGATGTGACCGCCAGGGACATGCGCCGAATGCGATGCTGCCAACAAGCAAAAGATGAGATCACATCAGATTACATCAGAGAGGCTCTCATGCTTACCAGATTCGCATAGGCCTCGGGCAAGGGGGAGGAGCTGCCGGTGGCGCTGGCATTCTGCGGATTCTGCGAATAGAGGCGACCATTCGAGTGGGACTTGTGCAGCATCTGCGACTGCGATATGCTGTAGTTGTCGATGGTCGCATTGCTGGAGCGCATGATGGACACCGTTTCGTCCTCTTCGGGTATTATCTCCATGATTTCAACGCCATTCGGATTCACATACGTGACATATGCCTCATCCGTGGCGAGCATATAGTTGCTGTGCGTGTCGACGACGGCGGCGGCCACAGCTGAGGCTGGCGCTGCGTTCGTCTGCATCTCTGTGGCCGGATTGCGCCAGGACATGGGCGTCTCCAGGCCATCCATTTGATCCGCCACAAAGATGGCCGCCAGAGCGGCACGCAATGGCAGCGCACCGAAGCCGGTCTCCGCCTTGATTACTGAGATCCGTTTGGTTGTGAACGCATCCTCGCGATGCTTGGTGATGATCAGGCTGAGCGGTATGAGATTCACCAGCATTGCCGACATCAGCACAATGGACTGCGCGGTGCCGTACAGGGTGCGCAGGCTGGTGAAGACGAAGGACAGAAAGAGCTGACAGAAGGCCTCGCCGCACAGATGAATCGTCTTCCGCACGTACTTGTCCTCGCGCGGACGCACTGCCTCCAGTATGACGTGCGTCTTCCACTGATACAGACTGGCGCCGATACCTAAAAGGCCATTCGGGCATTTCAAACTGGGATGCTGGGAGCAGCAGGCACAGCAGGCACAAACGACTTACCCGCAAAGCAGCCGTAGAAGACAATGGCCACGGTCTGAGTGGTGGTGGTGACCACCACCCAGGCGGATGAGAAGAAGATGCCGCTGATCATGAGTGAGAGGCAGGCAATCAAGGTGGCCAGCAGAAAGATGCGTCTGTATTGAACAGTTTCGCGTGCCCGGCCGCTATACTCTGTGTCCAGGTGCTCCATAATGGAGCGGCAGAGCTCTCCGGTGGCCTGGTAGACGATCGCTGGCCAAATGCGCAGCACCAGATCCTTGTCCGATTCCACGACGTTGCCATACAAATAGGCTGGCGTTGCCAGAAATGCCTAGAAAAGAGAACGACGAGTGAGTGGAGGCAGAAGATAGATGAGTCGAGGAGGGGGGGGGGGGGCCGGTTAGAAAGAGACAGAGACAGAGCAAGTGAGACTTGAACTAAGTGCAAGACAATAAAGAGAGAGGCGGAGAGAGAGAGAGAGAGGTGACAGAGAGACCTGGAGAGCGCGGATGATAGCAGGATAGAAGGGGGAGGGGAGAGAGAGAGACTTGGCTGATATATTTACGTGTATAGCAAAGCCGCAGAGCATATACTTCTGTTGTATGTGCTTCTTGACCACCCGCCGCCGCTGCACTCCGGCGGTGGCGCGGGCAGCGGCACGACGTACGGGTGCACCAGCAACTGGTGCCGCAGCCGCTGCTGTCATTGGCATTGTTGTCATGCCCGCCGTTCCCGTTGCCGTTCCTGTTACCGTTCCCGTTCCCGTTCCCGTTACTGTTCCCGTTCCCGTTCCCGCTTATATTACTTTTCCCTGGAAAATTGCGACCGTTTTGTGGATGATCCCGCACAGTTTGCTTTTCGTATGGAATTTGTGTGCTGGTACTGTGTGAGGCGCGTCGTCTGGCCGTTGGCATTCATCATTTACCAAACCGAAACCCGTTTAGATAATGGCGAAAAAAAAAAAATAAATAAAATTGTGATAATAATCGCGCTTATCACATTGAAGATATCTCTGCGTACCAACACCCCCACAGAGGACGCATGCACAGTGTGTGTGTGTGCATGTCTATCTCGCTGTGTGTGTGGGTGTGGGTGTTTGTGGGTGTGTGTGTGTGCGCCCGAGATTAACGTCAGATACATATGTAAAAAAGAAAAAAAAAAGAGAAAAAAAAATAATCGTTCGTCTTTGTTGACGTTGTTGGCTCTCCTGCAGCTCCGGCCACCAAACGCCAGCAGAGGATTATGTTTATGACCACACGCCAGCTGATCAGACATCGCACTCTGATAACGCGCAGCATACGATCCGGTCCGGCCATTCCGAGTGCAACGTTGCCAGCAATTGTGTTACAACACACACACACACACACACACACACACACACACACACATACATCAGAAGGCTGTTCAAAAAGAAAACATGAAAAGCTTCATTCACTTGAATATTAAGATTAGGCCAAGAGGCAATCAAGGCCTTCAGCGTCGTTCTGTGAATGTTTCCGTTTAAAATATACTTACATCAATTATGGTTCCTTAAAATCCTATATAATACTTATTTTGTATACTCATTCACGCAGTGAAATGAGCATATTGGGTTTGTGCAATATTCGTCTTGCGGCTCGTCCGTCTATTCGTCTCTCAGTCTGTCCGTCTGTTCGTATGAATGCAAATCATATGGACGTCTTGAAATTTGGACCATGTGTATCCAATAATTATTGTTTCTTTATTTCTAAATTTTTTTTCTGCTTTAATTTATAAATT